CGACGCCTCACAAGGTCTGGCCCGCGAGGTAGCAGGTGGTCGCCTGGTCGGCCACGGGACTGCAGTGCTCGGCAACTCCGAACAATCGCGGGCCCCAAGTGATGCGTGTTGGCGGCGCGCACAAAGGGGGTGGAGGGAGGAGGGAGGGCTTCTTAGAAGGAGGCTGCTTCTTAGAAGGCACTGGCCTTACGTCTTTAGATAAGGCCCGCGCCTTCTAAGAAACAGGGGTGCTTCTAAGAAGCCCTCCCCCCTGCCCCCACCCCCCTCTGCGCGCAGCTGAGCGTGTGTTGCGGCCCCCCCAAAAGAGGGAGGTGACGCTTGGCATTCGGCCGCCTGAAAATCTGGAGCATGACGCCACCGGCAGTTCTCGCAGCGGCAGCAGCAGGAGGGCGCAGCAAAAAACAGTCACAGAGCGTGTACGCGGAGAAGGGAGAGGAGAGAGGCGGATTCGGCAGTGGCCACGAGAAGTCTGCCAGAGGCTCAAAAGGGAAGAACACACAACAACAAACTCTAACTTGCCCTTTCGCTGTGGCAAGTTCACCTAATCAGGATAAGATGCACCGAAAGCAGCGAAAGAAACGAATCCTCCTCCTCCTCCTCCTTCTCCTCCTCCTTCTCCTCTTCCTCCTCCGCCACCCTCCTCCCCCTCCTCCTCGTCCTCCCTCCCTCCCTCCCTCCCTCCCTTCCTCTCTCCCTTCTGTGGGGGTGGCCGAAGGGGGAACAACAAAGGGGGGAACAAATCAACTGCACGCAACTGGTTGTTCCAGCGTCTCCTGGCGCCCGAGATGGCCATTGTATGGCGGAGTGTGCCTGGCGGCAGGGCCGACATCAGTTGCGTGCAGCAGTTTTCGAACCACCTCGTTTCCCAATCCCCACTTTCATCCGACCCGATGCTCAAGGAGGAAAAGAAGATCCCCAAACCTCCTCCTTCTCCTCCTCCTTCTCCTCCTCTTCCTCCGTCTCCTCCCTCCGTTCCCTCCTCCCTTGCCTCCTCCTGCCCTCCTCCTCCTCCTCCTCCTCCTCCTCCTCGTCCTCCTCTCCATCCGGGAGGGCGGCTCTACAGTTACATAATATGAATGCTTCTCTCCTCTCTCCCCTGAATCTGTCTGGAGAGTCTCCCGTCCTCTCGTAGCTTCCTGCTCACAAGAATTCATGCGTTGGTTTTCTATGTGTTTTTCAATCCGGTCGTTTCTGGTTCTTCCAACATGGTGCCCCCGCTACAACACCACCCTCATTTCCGCGCTTCGGCCATTCAAAATCGTACTCCCGCTGCAGCGCTGCATCGTTCCCGCACATCCGAACGGCACTTGGCATTCGAAAGCGTCCACATCGGGCAAGCACGGCTGCGGAGGACATGGAGCTGGCATTGTGGACAGGCCCTGTCCTCTCGTAGACGGACCACTTACCCTCCAAGTCAGCTGGTGCCGTGCCACGGCATGCAATGCGATGCTGTGATGTGCACCGCTGCGAGATGCCATGCGTTGTGTTGCTATGTTTTGTGATGCAATGCTTCACTACGAAACGCCACGCCAGGTTATGACATGCCACGCTCTGTCGTGATATCCTACGCCATGTTTCCCATCCATCTCGCATCCTCTTGGGATCATCGCCCTGCTCGCCATCTGACTGTGCGAATACATAGGAGATCGACGCCATGGTAAGGGATGGGAAGGGGTAGGATGTCACATGTAACGCTAGCGCACCTAGCTTGTCTGGGGCCCCTCCACCTCTCCCTCCCCCTCCCCTTCCTCCTCCTCCTCCTCCACCTCCTCCTCCTCCTCCTCCTCCTCCTCCTCCTCCCCCTCCTCCTCCTCCTCCTCCTCTTTCTCCTCCCCCCCCCCGTCTTCCTCCTCCTCCTCCCTGTCCTGTTCCTCCTCGCCGTCTTCGTCCTCCTCCTCCTCCTCCTCCTCCCTCCCTCCCCGTATTCCTCTTCCTGCCCGTCTTAGCCAGCGGGCCGGGGCATCGAGGATCGCCCACACATGGAGGCTGGAACACAGCACCAAAAACTTCTCATCCGCCCCCCTCGTCCTCCTCCTCCTCCTCCTCCTCCTCCTCCTGCTCCTCCTCCTGCTCCTCCTCCTCCTCCTCCTCCCTCCTCCTCCTCCTCCGCCCACCTCCGCCCACCTCCGCCCTCCTCCTCCTCCTCCTCCTCCTCCTCCTCCTTCTCCTCCTCCTTTCGCTCGCCTGACCAGGATTGCACCCCCCCCAATGGGTCTGTTGCCCTCCGAGCGGACGGCCTGGGCAAAGAGCGGATACCAGCCGAGGCGAAGGCAGGACTCGAAGGCCAGTTGGATATCGTGCTGGACTACCAAAAAGGTCTCCAGCAAAAACAATACCCTGGTATGAACCCCATGCCGCAGAGAATAAACACACAGGGATAAAAAAGTTCGGGGTCACGGGGGGATAATAAAAGTTGCCCACCAGAGGCCAGCATAAAGAGATTATCAAGAGGAGCGAAAGCCGAGGATCTCTTGAGACATCCTTGGCTGTTGGTCCTCTCTGAAACATCCTCAACAATGGTTTGTCTCGCTTGAGACATCCTCGACAAATCTCTCGTTTCGTGATCGCGTAGGGTAGTTTATGTGCCTCGTTTCACCAGGAAAATCAACCACAGCGATAAACAAGTTCAGAGGGGGCACGGAGAGAAGGAGAAAGGCTGAGAGAGAGAGAGGGAGAAAGAAAGGGAAATAGACAGAGAGAGAGAGAGACACACACAAAGGGAGACAGAGACAAAGAGAAAGAGAGAGAGAGATATAGAGGATAGGAAGATGAGAAGAAGGAAAGAAAAACATAAAGTTCAAAACTTAATAGATTTTATCTGTAAACGCTTAATGGAAGTTGAGATGTTCATCTGCTCGTGTAGTCCCAGGATAATCAACCACAGCGATAAACAAGCTCAGGGGGGCACGGAGAGAAGGAGAAAGGTTGAGAGAGAGAGAGAAAGACAGATAAATAGAAAGAGAGAGAGAGAAAGAGAGACACAGGCAAAGAGAACGAGAAAAGAGAGGAGAGGAAGATGAGAAGGATGAAAGAAAAATCCAAAATTCAAAACGTATTAGATTTTAGCTGTAAACGCTTAGTGGACATTGAAAGTTGCATCTGCTCGTGTAGGGTACCAGGATAATCAACCACAGCGATAAACAAGTTCAGGGGGGCACGGAGAGAAGAAGAAAGGCTGAGAGATATAAAGAAAGAGAAAGAAAAAGAGAGAGACGCATAGAGAGAGAGAGAGAGACAAACAGAGACAGCGACAAAGAGAGAGAGAGAGAGGAGAGGAAGATGAAAAGGATGAAAGACAAATCCAAAGTTCAAAACCTATTCGAGTTTTATCTGTAAGCGCCTAATGGAAGTTAGAAATTTCATCTGCTCGTGTAGGGTAGTAGCTCATGTGCCTCGTTTTCCCCGGATAATCAACCACAGCGATGAACAAGTGCAGGGCGCCAGGGGGAGGAGGAGAAAGAGACAGAGAGAAAGAAGAGGAGGAAGAGGAGGAGGAGGAAAAGCAGGAAGAGGAGAGAAGGGAGAGGAGCAGGAGGAAGAGGAGGAGGAGGAGGGGAAGGAGCAAGAGAAGAGGGAGGAGGAGGGGGAGGAGAAAGGAGGAGCAGGAGGAGGGGGAGCAGGAAAGGATTCCTTCAGCACTGCTTGTTTCGCTTGAGACGTCCTTGCAGAATTGGTTGTTTCGCTTCAGACATCCTTCAGACGTCCGGCGAACTTTTCACAGTGATAATGAAGTTCGGCCTCCGCGCTCTCCGCCTACATTTGAAACCCTTCTAGGCCGACGATAATCAAGTCAGATATCTTAAGGGGGGGTACTTTATTATCTGCGGCATTGGGTTACCAAATTTCCCTTGTTCCAGCTGGGGGCGGGCCGATGTCCAAGCGTCCCCGTGAAATGTCTGGAACTGCATCGCCGCAGAACTCCGCGGGATGACAAGGGCTGACAAAATTTCAGCGCTACTGGCTTCACCTGTGTTACCCCAGCGACGGTGGTGCCCCTGGTACTGCAGAGGCGGCCGCGGCGTGGGCCACGTCAGCGGCGGCGCCCACTGCCTGGTTACCCTTTTCCTGGTTCCCCTGTTCCTGGTTCCCCTCTTCCTGGTTCCCCTCTTCCTGGTTCCCTTCCTGGTTCCTCTCCGCCTCCTCCCGAACCATCAAGGCTTCTGGCGGTCAAACCTGATCTGCCAGGTTTTGCGCCTGTGATTTGGTTTCTGTCTACCTGAAGCCAGGAGAACCTTGCCCTCCTTGCCCACTTGGGAATTCTACAGCACCGCTGCAAGTTGCCCCTGTTAGTGGGCGGCGATTTCATCCTCTGCATGAACGCGTGCTATGAACGCTCCTGCCGGGCACGAGGGGGCACAATTTGTTAACATCGCCCCGTCCTCCTTCCTTGGTTTCCTTCTCCTCCCCCTCTTCCTTCCGCGCGTCCCTCCACCCTCCCAGCCTTTGTCCCCCTCCCCTTTCGTCCCCCTGCTACGCTCCCTGTCCCACGCCCTTCCCTGCCGTTCAGACTTTCACACTACAGGTGCGTAGCACAGCGTACCATTACTCCGTGCTGTCCTGAATCAGGTTCTGAGAGGGGCAAGTTGCGAGGGGCGCGTTCACTCCAAAGGGGGGCTGGCGTGCCAGACGCGAGCTCTGCCGACGCCCCGATCCAGGCGCAATGAGGAACTGAAGAGTACCTCTTCTAGCACACTGTGCATAGCGTTGGGGTTCGGGGGTGCACCAAAACATTGACCCCCAGGAGGCGAAAGCCAGGCCGTGGTTTTGCGCCGCCACTTCTGAGGCCCTGAGAAGGGCCATACACACCTCCGAAGCAATCTGTATCACTTGCACGAAACCTTTCCCGCGCACCTGAGCAGCCCTTCTGGCTGTCGTCTCCGAGGATCGCCGAAACCAAGCCGGGGAGAATTCAGAAACCGTGGGGAACGTACCACGTTAGTGGCCACCTCGCCCATTCATAACACTCATCCCCCATGCGTTAAGATCCCCGGAAACCATTTGACTCAAAGGATTGGTTTCTGCCATCATCAAGACTTTTAAGGATGAGACCTCCTAGAGCCCTTGCAACTCCCTTTCCGCATGGGCATGCTGCTTTGGGGCAGCGGGTGAGTGGGAAACCGCAGCCACCCTGACCAGGGTTCTGATGGTCGCCTCACCCTTAAAGATGGGTTCTAGGTGCCCTCAACGCCTATAGCGTACCTGGCAGTCCTTCTCCTCCTCCTCCTTCTCCCCCTCCTCCTTCTCCTCCTTTTCCTCCTCCCGCCTCGATGGCGGGCCGCCGCTGCCAGTCGCCCCACCTCTGCGTGTAGAGGTCCGCCTGCGCAGCCGCCCGCGCGGGGGGGGGTGGGGGGGGGGGGACAACTGCACTTGAAAATTGTCGGTCCCTCTGGCAATGTTGCTTGCACCTGCCAAGGTGTATTTGACCGTTGCCGTCTTGCCCCGGACGGGGGCACCCTGAGCTGCAGGAAAAGGTATACGGACTCTGTCGGATTCCAGATGTCTCCACTGCGTGAACCCTGCCGATCACAAGATGTTAAGACAGGTCGACAGTTTCATGATTGTGCGATTTCTCTTCTGGACCTTGGTTTGTAGGACCCTGATACTCTCGACAGACACTAGTTCGACTCTGAGTGCGAGACTGGCTTGGTATTTGGCATTTCCCAAAATCAACAGACATTGATAGCGGAGCGGTCACTCCACAGCCGTCCATACAATTGAACCACCACCTGGAGGAAGAGGAGCATCTGACAGGGGAAAAGGTGGACAACACAGCGCCTCCGTCGAGTACGCGAATGCCTTAGCAGTGCCACTGGCAGCGGCGGAACCTTCGGCAGATGCAGGAGCACCTGCTACGGAGCGTGGAGCCTGGCGACGTGCAGCTGCGAGCCAGGCGGATCACGCAGACGAATACGACGGAGACAGGGACAGTTTCGAGCGGCTTGGAGAAACGCAGCCACAACGGAGGTAGATGCCGCCCGAACGAGGATCTGACGGAGGACTTGCCAGGAACGCACCGCGGTGCGACAGCATCAACGAGCAGAGCTACCAAGTCTTCAGGAGACGACTGGAGGGGTACGAGAGACAGTGCAAACTGAGGTCCCAGCTCGCCGTGGCGGAGGGAGCCTGCTCGATCTTCCCGCAGCTGCAGGAGACACGGCGGGAAATCACAAAGATGGTCGACCTGGACGAGCTGGAGAGCGGCAACCGATTCTACACGATCCAGGAGCTGCCAGATGCGGAAGCGAGTTGCCACATCGAAGACGACGTCGAGCCACCCGAGAGATGTGAGCAGTTATTCAACCATCTGTTGCGCGCCAAGAACAAGGTGGCACGGCAGCCAATTGCAAGACAACACAACGATCTCAAGCGTGCCTGACCAACTGGCGGGAAGGGATTTGCAATCGAGAAGCGAGATCACGAAAGGCGAAATGTGGAGGAAAGCCCACCGACCAGAAAGTTGCACACGCGTTGAAGACAATCATCGGCGCAGGCTGGAGGCCAGGTGCCAAAGATATCACCAGAGTCCAAAGAGCTATTATAACAATGCCACAAACGAGAGACGAGGTGAATCTTGCGGAAAGGGCTGCAAGAGCACACTACCAGACGGGCGACTACGATGACTCCTGGCTTACGAAGCTTACGAAGACGAAGAAGCTAGCGACGGGGAGGAATGGCGGCCCGAGGAGACGAGAAGGCCTACGACGGATACGAGGACGACCGGCGGGGGGAAGGCGTTCCCGAGAATCTCACCGACAACTGCCAGCAGAAGTGCGTTGAGGCATACTTTGGATATACGCGGAAGCTCGACAGGGGATGCGAGACCCGGCGGCGGCCAGAGGTTTCTGCCCGACCATGGCGGCCGTCCCAAGAGGGAAGCGGATGAGAGCAGGAGGAGACCTGAAAAGATGGACACCGACAAAAAACAGGGGACCCAAAACATCGGAAAAAACGGAAGCAGCTCACCAACACGGAACAGGAAAAAGGTAAAGGCCGCGGAGACGGGACGCCAAGACCCACACCACGGAGGTTTGCCCCCAGGCACCGTCGAGATAAGGAGTGCCACACGGAGGATGGCCAGGGTCACCACCGACGGCCCCGGCGGGGTCGACGTTCTCGGGATCGACTCGGCACCACGGCCCAGGGCTCTCAGGATCTACTCGGCCCACGGCCCAGGACCACGGCACAGGATGGTCATGGAGTGAAGACGGTCGGTGAGGAACAGACCGTGGTAGTCGAGGAGAAGGAAGTGCCGGAGATCGACACGAGCGTGATGCAGGCGGCGAGCGTCGTCGAGAACGGCGTGGGCATCGAGGACAGCGTGCGCACCGCACCTCTCGTGGGCGAGGGCTCCTGGGAGGGATGGCTGTGGGAGCTGGAGTGGCATCGAGTACTCGAATTTGGAGAGTGGGAAGATTCAGAACTTGACGAAGCAGGTGACGTTGCTGGTGAAGCCGAGAGGAGCTTCGGGACTCCTCCCAGCGTGCCTGCCTCCGGGAAGCACACCGCTGATGAGCTGCAGACAGGTGCTGGCGGACTGGGGGATCGTGGAGGACTACCTCAGCAAGCAGATCGACTTCCTGGACCAACCTGACGCGGGATAGGTCAAGGTCGACATGTCCGAAAAGGGTCACTTCGAGACCGACGCGGCCATGCAGGCCGAAGAACGAATGGAAGGACACACCCACGACTTCCTCACAAGTAACGAGCATAGTGACCTGAAGGAGACGCAGATTGCGACAGAACAGGAGAATATCCAAATCATGGACAGCCTCTCGAGCGCCTTGGCAGCTGATGATATTTCGAGACCGATCGTGATCTGGGAATACTTTGTGGACAAAGGAAGCCTTTATCTGCAAGTCTACGAAACGTGCAGGCGGAAACGTTCAGCATCCAGAACGGATGTGGTTTCCATCAAGAGACCGTCATCAAGGAATATCGCGCGCAGACGTGGCCAAATCATGTTCCTGGACCGACCGTGTGGATCCAGGAAAGCGTTGGTTCACGACGACAACGCAATCATGGACGGCAACAAGGAGCACACTGACGAGGTACGAGAGCGCGACTCGAGGACGTTCTCGCACGTGGTGAGAAACGTTCAGAGGGCAGACTGACAGTGGCCATGGATCGGGCGTTGGCAGGACTGGGTTTAGTGGGACCTGGTTTAGTGATCTGTACAGGGGGACGCCCCCCCGCCCCATTCAACTAATCGGAACTGCCGTCGCCCAGAAAACAGCAGCCACGGCAGACCTGGTTTAGTAACAGTCCATATTTGGGCTTCGGGGCCAAATCACTAACCGGCTCCCCTTAACCAAGGTCCTGGTTATACCCGAATGGAGTTACGTTCGAGCATCCGGCAAAAGAAGACTCATGGAAGGAGAAACCGATGACCGAGATGACGAGATGCTACGACGTCACCCTGGAACGGTGCCACGCAAGCCTGTGCGCGCACGACCGCAACGGTCGGCACCTAGGTCCATGCAAGAAGTCGACAAAATTCATGACCACGAGTCGCGACGCCGCCAAGCCTCTGGAACTGGAGCGCGCTCCTTTATTTTTCGGCGATCCTGGGCATCATGGGTGGGGGGAGGGGGCCGGGGGGGGGGCAGAATGCAACGCCTCCCCCCCGCCGTGTGCCCGATGCGCACGGCGGCAGTGCCCGGAGCGCACTGGGGGGGGGGGGGAGGAGCGTTACGTTATAGGGGGGGGGGAGGAGGAGGAGGAGGGGGAGGAGGGGGAGGGGGCTATGATGCCCATCGTGCCCCAAGCAAGAAAAAAACACGCTTCTGGCCTGCGACCGTGCCCGAGCGCACAGCCGCCGGGACGGCCAGAGACCCAGGCATGGGCGCAGCGCTGCCAACCGCACGCGGCACGCCTGCGCGCAGGGGGCCTCGTGGGCGCCTGCTGCGAAGGCCGGCTCGGAGAAGGCACACGAGGCGCAGGACACCGAGGAGTCGCCGAACAGGGCCCCGCGGGACGACCGGGTCCGCGGGGTCCTGGACAAGCTGAGCGGTCTCAAGGTCCCGACACGGAGGCTGCAGAGACGCCACCGGCGCGGGCCGGCGATCGTAGCCCTCATAGAGCCCAGTTTTCGCGGTGGCGTCGTCAGGAACAAAGATCTGTGGCTGATCCATGGCACAGTCACCATACGCTGTGCGCACGAACAGCTACGACCCGTGCTTCCAGAAGAACGAGTGCAGCGAGAAAAGTCACTTGACATCCGAGAGCAGCCCCTAATGAATCGGAACGAAGCTGGCTACGACAAAAGGATCGCTCAAGTACGAGGACAACCGGAGTCAGTGAAGACTCGGATTCCACGACGAAGGCATGATACCCGACCCGCTCCAACCCGAGGACCACCCGATGGAGACTCCTCTGTCGCACGTCCTGAAGCGCACGCCACGCGTGTACCAGACGACGTTCTCACCGAGGGGAGCCGGTCGCACCAGGGGTGCCACGAAGGAGGAGAACTGACATGTCTGGATCCTCAGCTCCAGCCCAAATAGTCGTAGAGGGACTAGCAGGGGCTGCAACAGCTGGACGGCCAAGCCAGCCCAGCGACAGACTTATGAGACGAGTGCGAGGCAAGACACGGAGACAGCACATCCAGACGAAGCACGAGACGAGGATGAGGACAGACGAGGAGACGGATGTGATGGTCGGAGGAGTCCACGAGGCGAGATCGAACCACGGGCTCCCAAGGCTCAAGAGGCCGCGAGTGGAAGTCGTACCTGAGCACCGAGGTCTACCCGAAAGCAGCACGACCGATGCGAAGATGGAACACGACGAGATGCTGTACATCGACGAGATCTCGACCGAGGAGACAGCCCTCTCGCAAGATTGCGCTCGGTATACAGATGTCCCCTGGATTCAAATCCAGGCCAGCATGTGTGGAACCTCACAACACCAGCGGAGAGATCGATTCGGTGGCACTGGCTTCGACTGAAATAAGAAACAGTTTCAAGGTCAAGCCCGCTTGGGGACAACTGCCGAAACTCGTCTGGTAAGTCCCCAAGCTCGACCTGAACATGAGCATGCACGTCAAGGCCGGCGACCTCATCAAACGAGCGGCCGGTGCAGTTGCTGCAATGGATGCTCGAGGCAGCCACCAGATCAAAGCTACGATGGTGAAAACCATTCGTGACACGGTGATTTGGACGGACGACGAAAAGGAAGAATTCGAAGGCCTCAAAGCCAGATAGTTTAACAACGAGCAAAAGAGGTTGCTCCACAACAAAGAAACACGGCAACTGGACTATTATTATCATGTACTTGCACATCTGCGAGGATTAAAGCGTGACCGGAAACCTAAGTTGCGGTGCGCCAGCTGCAGTGGTGAAGCTACTAGATACCATCTGTGCTTATGACCACAGCACCTCTGTAATCCAGGATGGCCCCAAGTGGGTTGAGCCAGACGACCATGAACCAAGAAGCCCATAAGTGGCGCCACAACAGCTCCCCAAAGCATCAACATTGTCTCCAAGCGGTCCCCGAGAGGCCTCACCAAGATCCCGACGACCATACAAGAGGCCTCAGACCCACAACCCAGACACGGTGGCGGGGTGGGCCGAAGGCCATCAGATATCAGGATATATTGTAAATATGATTGCTGTGCGAACCTCTCATCCTCGACTTGAGCTTCCAGAATCTCGAGAACTCCGACAAACACCTGTTTGACTCAGAGTGCGAGACTAGCATGGCATCTGGGTGTCTACAGTATCAACAGGCAGGGGGGGACTGCGTCCCCCCGTCGCCTCGCCCCAGCTGCGCGAGGACGACGAGGCGACAAGGCAAGACCAAGACATCGCCATGGAGCTCCGAACCGACAACCTCGCGTAATCGGAAAAGCTCTGCGCGCCGCTTCGGCAGCCAGACCTCGCTTGCAGACGAAAGTGGCCTGTCGGTAACCGCTCTGCGCGGTCCCATTCTGGACGCGCTGCCTGGGAGGTGCCTGGCACGCGCGAGGAGAACGCGGAGGACCCAGGAGGACAACGAAGAGGCAACGTAGCTTGTTCAGTCCGTGAGCTCTGCAAGGATCTTGGCCCCTTCCCCAAGGTCAGTCTGGCGGCCCAGGGGCCCAAACAAGGGGACCCGTGGGAGGCCGGGGTCGAGGGGGAGGCCGCGTGGACTGAGCACGCCGCGGCGCCAGTGGTCCGGCCCAGCCGCCCTGCGACGAGGGGCGAGGAGTAGGAATCGTTCGAGGGCGATTGGCTTGTGGGCCAAGGAGGAGGAGGAGGAGGAGGAGGAGGTCATCAACGATGTTGGAATTAACCCTCCTTCCAAGCTCCCTCTTCACAGGCCCCCACAACGGTTCACTTCCATTGAGTGAACTGCCTCGTTGGAAGACAACCGTTTGAAGACCCGGAAGCATGCCAAAACATTGTTCTCGGGATTCCAACGCCACGTATCAACCAGACTGCTGCGTCTTGACAATCTGGAATCGCGCCAGGGCGCCATTTTTGGGACTCCGACACCGCGAACCAACATTACGGTTGCACCCGCATAATCCTGAATCCTTCCAAAACACAATTTCTGGCACGCTGATCATGGGAATCCGTGAAACTCTTGCACCTGTTGAAAACGAATGTGCGCGGCGCTAAGGCGAAAACCACATTTTGAAAAGGAGCCGCCCTCAATCCGTGAAGCTCTTGCAAGTGCTTAAAACAAAGATGTGCGCGGAGCTAAGGCGAGAGCCACATTTTGAAAACCAACAACCACCCACCCTCAATCCGTGAAACCCTTGCGAAGTTGAAGACGAATGTGCGCGGCGCTAAAGCGAGAACCACATTTTGAAAACCACCCGCCCTCAATCCGCGAAAAGATTGCACATGTTTAAAAGGAATGTGCGCGGCGCTAAAGCGAAATCCACATTTTGAAAACCACCCGCCCTCAATCCGCGAACTTCTTGGAAGTGTTTCAAACGAATGTGCACGGCGCTAAAGCAGGAGCCACATTTGAAAACGACCCGCCCTCCATTTGTGAAACTGTTGTCACTTCTTAAGCTCCAAAGTCAGAACTGGTGAAGAAGTCTCAGGCGAAACGCCCAGCCCGCCCTAAAAACTAGCCTCGGGGTGCGACAGGGAGGAGTTACATATAAGGAGAAGGAATTGAGGAGGAGGAGGAGGAGAAGGAGGAGACGGAGGAGGAGGAGGAGACGGAGGAGGAGGAGGAGGAGGAGGAGGAGGAGGAGGAGGAGGAGGAGGAGGAGGAGGAGGAGGAGGAGAGGAGGGAGGAGGATAAGGAGGAGGAGGAGGAGGAGGAGGAGGACGGGGAGACGGAGGAGGAGGAGGAGGAGGAGGAGAAGGAGACGGAGGAGGAGGAGGAGGAGGGAGGAGGAGGGAGGAGGAGGATAGGCACCGCCCCCAGGCCAGGCCCATCCTGGGCCCAGGAGCGGCGGCCCCCGTGGCCGAGCCGGGGAGGCGCCGCGCGCGCGGGGCCTTGGAGGCCACGGTGCTGAAGTAGCTGCCGATGCCGAACGCCGCCCCCGCGTTTGTCCCGCCCAGCCTGCGCGGGCGGGGTCGGTCGTCGGCCGTCGTCGTCGGTCGGCCGCGCCGTCGTCGAAGGCGTCGGCGGCGTCGTCTGCGGTGTCGGCGTCGGTCGGCGGCGGTCGTCGGTCGTCGGTCGTCGGTCGTCGGTCGTCGGTCGTCGGTCGTCGGTCGTCGTCGTCGTCGTCGTCGTCGTCGTCGTCGTCGTCGTCGTCGTCGTCGTCGTCGTCGTCACTGTCGTCACTGTCGTCGTCGTCGTCGTCATTGTCGTCTTCGTCGTCATTGTCGTCGTCGTCGTCTTCGTTGTCGTCTTCGGTCGGCGGCGTCGTCGGCGTCGTCGGCGGTCGATGGCATCGGTCCTCGGCGTCGGTTGGCGACGTCGTCGGCGTCGGCGTCGTCGCGGCGAGTTCGGCGTCGGCGGCGTCGCGGCGTCGGCGGCGTCGTCGGCGGCGTCGGCTTCGGTCAGTGTCGTGGCGGGCGTCGGGCGTGCGTCGTCGTCGGCGACGGTGGCGTCCTTGTCGTCGGCGTCCTCGGTCGTCGTCGTCCTCATTCCCTCTGAGCCCTCCAGGCCCTGCCGCATCCTCTGCCCCATTGTGCTCCTGCTCCTGCACCTGCAGCGTTCCTCTTCTCCACCATCTTCTTCCTTGTCCGCCTCGTCAACGTCGTCGGCGTCATCATCCGTCATCATCATAACCTCCATCACCAGCACCATCTCCATAGCCATAATCGTAATCATCAGCGTCATCAGCATCAGCAGCAGCGTCACAAGCAGCAGCATCATCATCATCATCATCATCATCATCATCATCATCAGCAGCAGCAGCAGCAGCATCATCATCATCATCATCATCATCATCATCATCATCATCATCATCATCATAATCATCATCATCATCATCATCATCATCAGCATCATCATCATCATCATCATCATCATCATCGTCGGCATCATCATCATCATCACCATCCAACATCATCACCATCACCATCACCATCACCATCACCACCACCACCACCACCATCACCATCACCACCATCACCCCATCACCATCATCATCATCATCATCATCATCATCATCATCATCATCATCATCGTCATCGTCATCATCATCATCATCATCATCATCATCATCATCATCATCATCACCGTCATCGTAATCGTCATCGTCATCACCATCATCCATAATGATCATCGTCATCATCCTAAACATGATGATGATGATGATCATCATCATCATCATCATCATCATCATCATCGGCATCATCGGCATCAGCATCATCATCCTCAGCATCAACAGCGCCAGCATCACCACCACCACCATCATCATCATCAACACCAACACCACCACCACCATCATCATCATCACCATCATCATCATCATCAACATCATAATCATCATCATCATCATCGTCGGCATCATCATCATCATCACCATCCAACATCATCACCATCACCATCACCATCATCACCACCACCATCACCATCACCACCATCACCCCATCACCATCATCATCATCATCATCAGCATCATCATCATGATCAGCATCATCATCACCATCATCATCACCATCAAAATCAGCACAATCAACATCAACATCACCATCACTATCAGCATGATCGTCAAAATCAGCATCATCATAGTAGTCATCACAATACACATCATCAGCATCAGCATCATTAGTATCATCATCATCATCAGCATCGCCGTCGTCTTCAAGTCAAAATCAGAATTAGTATCACCATAATCATCAACATCATCTTCATAATCATCATCGCCGCCGTCATCGGCTTTGTCATCACCAGCGTCATCACCACTATCAACAGAACAATCAACATCCATCTTCATCACCACCATCAGCAGCATCGTCATCATCATCACCATTGTCGTCATCATCATCATTTCCATCGTCATCACCATAATCAGCATCATGCTCACCATCACCACCACCATCATCACCATCATCATCGTTTTCCATCAGCATCGTCATAGTCATCATCATCATCATCAGCATCAGCATCAGCATCAGCATCAGCATCCTCCTCCTCCTCACCATCATCATCATCAGCAGCATCAGCATCATCACCATCATCATCATCATCATCATCATCATCATCATCATCATCATCATCATCATCAACATCAACGTCAATGTCATCATCATCAGAGAGAGCGTGATCCACCGCCGCTTCACTATGGAAAATTCTCCCCCTCTTCCGCCAGAACCCGGGGGTCACCCCCCCCGCCTTCGAAAACCCCCTCCCCCCGCTGGAACCCCCCCCCTTCCCCCCCCACCCCCCCCCCTAATCCCTCCCCACACCCCCTCAGGAAGACCGGGGGGTCACTACCGGTTCGAACCCCCCTACCCCCCCCCCTCTCCAGAAAACCGGAGGGGGTCACTACCGGTTCGACCCCCCCCCCCCCTCCCCTCCCCCCACTCCTCCAGAAAAATTGGGGGGGGTCACTACCGGTTCGAACCCCCCCCCCTCTATACAACCTGGGGGGGTCACTACCTGTTCGAACCCCCCCACTCCAGAAAACCTGGGGGGGTCACTACCGGCTCGAACCACACACACCCCACCCCACTTACTCACCGCCGGCAGACGACTCCCGGGTCCCCACCACCGTCCGCACCACATCCCCCACTGCTGTCCCCAGTGCAACTGTCCCCACCACCACTGTCCCCACTGTTCCCACCACCGTCCCCACTGTCCCCGCCACTGCCCCCATCACTGTCGCACTGTCCCCACTGTCCCCACTACTGTCCACTGTCCCAACTGTCCCCACCACTCTCCCCACCGTACTACTGTCCCACCACCTTCCTCACCACCGCCTTCATCACTGTCCCCACCACAACCGTCACCACCACTATCCCACTGTCCCCACTGTTCCCACCACTGTCCCGCTGTCCCCTCACCACTGTCCCCAACACCACCGTCCCGTCCCCACCACTGTCGCACTGTCCACACCACTGTCCCACTGTCCCCACACCACTGTCCCCACCAATACCGTCCCCACCACTGTCCCAATATCCCCGCCACTGTCCAACTGTCCCGAGGAGCGGGAACCGTTTGCTGCCAGCGGGGGGGGAGGGGTCGAACCGGTAGTGACCCCCCCCCCCTTTTCTCATGATGGACTGGAAGGTGGTGGTGGGTTCGAACCATTAGTTCCCCCCCCCCATGACCCCCCCCGGTTTTCCGCCAGCAGCGGAAGAACACGCTCTTTCCATCATCAGCATCATCAGCATCATCATCATCATCATCATCATCATCATCATCATCATCATCAGCATCAGCATCAGCATCAGCATCAGCATCAGCATCATCATCATCATCATCAGCATCAGCATCAGCATCAGCATCAGCATCAGCATCAGCATCAGCATCAGCATCAGCATCATCATCATCATCATCATCATCATCATCATCATCATCATCATCATCATCATCATCATCATCATCATCATCATCATCATCATCATCATCATATCATCAGAGAAAGAGAGAGCGTGATCCACAGCCGCTTCACTGTGGAAAATTCTCCCCCTATTCCTCCAGAACTCGGGGTTCCCCCCCCCTTCGAAAATCCCCCCCTGCTGGAACCCCGCCCCACCACCCATCATCATCATCATCATCATCATCATCATCATCATCATCATCATCATCATCATCACATCACCATCACCATCACCATCACCATCATCATCATCATCATCATCATCATCATCATCATCATCATCATCATCATCATCATCATCAGCATCATCATCATCATCACCGCCATCGTCATCCGTCGTTCCTGGTTCCTCATTCCTCATCCTACTTACCTCCTCCTTCTGGGGGAGGACGAGGAGGAGGAGAAGGGAACGGGGGCAGGCTCGGGAGGAAGGCGGCTCGGCAGAGGGGGAGGAGGGGATGGGGGCAGGAGGATGGAGGAGAGAGAGGACAAGAAGGATCAGCAGCAGCAGGGAAGGCGCGCCACGGCAAGACATGTCGCCATCTCACCAGTCGCGATGGGGCGGACTACTTCGTCGCTCGCCTCCTGTCGTCTTGCGTTCCAAGGGCCGATCGTCCTCTGCAGGTCTCCGGGAATCCCCTGGGTCCCGGGAGGTCCCCGGAGGTCCCCAGAGGCCCCACGGATCCCCGAAGGCCTACAAGAGGCCTCCAGGAGCTTCCACCACGTGCTGAAAATGCCTGATTCGCCCAGCCAGAGACAGAGTTGAACGGTTCGCGCAAGGCCTTCTTCTGGGCCCTTTGCATCTGGGCAAGCTTTGAGGAACCTGGGGGGCAGTCCTACGCTTGCCAGCGAGGATCCAAAACATTGAGCTCTTGCACCCTAGGTGTGTGAGCGATGTGGTGCAATCTGTTTGGTGGAAGCAGTGCGTGGCACAAGCAGTGTAGTGCAGCATGTGTGTGGTGCAAGCTATGCAATAAAGCAGTGGGGTACAAGGTATGTGATGCAAATCATGTGGTGCATGCCATTTGTGCCACAAGCAATGTGGGGTAAACTATGTGTGATGCTAGCTAAATGGTGTAAACAATGGTGTGCAAGGTATGTGGTGCAATTGATGTGGTGCAAGCCATGTGTGCTACAAGCTAAGTGGGACAAACCATGGAGTGCAAGCACTGTGGTGCAAGCGATGTGGTGCAAACGATGCATGCCACCTGCAATGTGGCGCAGACACAGTGTGCTGCAAGCTGCGAGGTGCAAGCGGTGGGGCAAAAACGATGTGATGCAGGCCGCGCGCGGTGCAGGCTACGCGGTGCAGGCTGTGCGGCGAACCGATCCGCGGTGCAAGCTGCGCGGTGTGCGCTGTGCGGGCAGAGCGGTGCGCGAAGTTGTGCCACGCAAGCCACACGGTGCAGGCCGCACGCCGCGCCCACGAGGCACCCAGAGCCGCCCACCCGCGCGAAACCGCCCAGCGCGCGGGGCGCCCACACGGAGGGGAACGAACAGTGACCTAAGCGTAACAAAAAACAACTCGGAGGCCCCGCGCGGATCTCTCGCCTCGGCTCTGGAACCCACTCCCTGGCGGCGCCGGAGCGCGCCCCACAAAGGGGAACGAACAGTGACACAAACGTAGCAGAAAAAAAACTCGGAGGCCCGCGCGGATCTCTCGCATCGGCGCTGGAGCACACTCCCGGGCAGCGCCGGAGCGCGCCGCCAGGGGGCTCCGGCGACACCTGGACACTATTTGGCAACATGCTTCCTCTCCATTGATCTCGGGCGTTGGCAGAACTGGGTTTAGTGGAACCTGGTTTAGTGGGCGCCCCCCCGTCCCATTCCCACTAAGCGGAACTGCCGTCACCCGAAAAGCACCAGCTACGGCAAACCTGGTTGAGTGAATCTGGCCCATTGAGGGGCCCCAGGGCCCTACCACTAGCCGGGTCCCCTAACCCGGGGTCCTGGCCATACCCGACGTTAGACATCTGGAAATTATTTGGCAACGTGCTTCCTCTCCATTGATCGTCCTCCACAGCCCTAAGCACGGCGCCCTCGGCCGCCCTCCGGGCGAGACCTCGGCAGACCGAGCCCCTGGCGCACGGGGCGCCCGTCGCGGCGGCGCCCCGCCGGCGCACGGGGCGCCCACGAGGCCGCCCACGGCCCACGGCCGCCGCCTGGGCGAGACCTCGGCGGGCCCAACCGCTCGCTTACGGTGGGGGCACGTGTTTTTTAGCACTTCGAGGGTACTCCAGGTACCCCAGGTACTCCAGGACGTCGCGGCTGGGCCCCGAAGAGGTGGCGGGGGCTGGCGGAGCAGGCCGTGGCCCCGTCCGCGTCGCCCGTACCAAGCCCCGCACCGAGGCCGCTCTCTTCGCTGCTGCAACAGTCGCCCTCACTGTCCTCACCGCTGCTGGCCACGGCATACGGTGGGGGCATTAGATAAGGAACCCGTAGATCAGGAAGCCAGGATCTGAAGCCGGTGGAACTCCAATCGTGGATCGGCCATGGGCATCACCGCCGCCCACACTGGATGAGAAGCCCTCCAGGGTCCGAAGCCTCCGGGGCACGTTCCTCAACGAACGCCCCCACCTTATGGCGAGAGCATTGTATAAGGAACCCTTGCATGAGGAACCCAGGGTCTGAAAGCCAGTGGAGCACCAGTTGAGGCTGGGCCATTGACGTCACCGCCGCCCTGATCAGACAGGGAACCCTCCAGGGACTGAAGCATCCTGGGCAGATTCCTTGCCCGACACCCCCCCCGTACCAATGCTAGGAAGAACCGCTCCCCTAAATTCAAGCACTGTTTGGGGAACATCTGTCGCGGCGCTGGTTGTCGTCAGCGCGCCCAAGTGGACGAAGCCAGCACCGCGGCGAACCCCACGGCGAGCATCGCGCCCGAGGCCGAGTTTGCCCTGGTGGCCGAGGCACCATCTCAAAGGCGTAAGGCCGCGGGCCGGAACAAACGGCGCGGCGACTTCTCAAAATCTGCTCCTCGATCCCTGGACACACGCAGGAGGAGGAGGGAGAAGAGGAGGAGGAGGAGGAGGAGGAGGAGGAGGAGGAGGAGGAGTGACCCAGCCAGGAGCAACTAACCTTCGGCGTGCGGCCTGCCAATCGCTGCATGTGATGCGGCATTGGCGCCCTGGGTGCTCGGTCTTTTGGCCTCCCGCGCCGCCCGAAGGCCACGCACGAGAGGTCCCTCCAGCGAAGGGCCCCTGCTCCGTGTGGCTGGGATCCTCTCCAGAGGCCTCCGGCGGCCTCCGGGCCCTGCAAAAGTACAAGGAACCTCGAATAGAACAAAAACATCTCTGACGAGAGCGCGGCGCACGACGATGTCGTGAGCAAGTCTCGAACGGGAGCCGCTGTTGCTGTGGCTGCGGAGGGGGGGGGGCCAGGGGCAGCACAGCTGGAGCCCCGAGGGGCACCTGTATGGAAAAAAAACACACGGGGCACCAGTTCAAGGGGGGGCAGCGGCGCTTGACTCTCCAGGAGAGAGAGAGAGAGAGAGAGAGAGAAAAAAAAAAAAAAGAGAGAGAGAGAGAGAGAGAGATAGAGAGAGAGTTCAGCAGCAACAGCAATACAAAACATATGTTTCTTCATCCTCCTCGCTGCTACTCCGAGGGTGCCAACGGCTCTCGAGGAGGCGGCGCGGCGTCGGCATCGCTGGGGGCGTCGGGGTCCGGCCACGCGTCGCCGCCAGGCGGGCGCGGCGCGTGCGCGTAGATGCGGAGCCCGACGGGCCAATCTCTCCTCCACTCGGCGATGGCTGGCGCCACGCACAACGGGGCAGGGTGCTCGTCCGAAGCAGAAGAAACGATTAATGGACGTACAGACTACCAAAGATACACGTGGTCTTCTTGGTTCGGCGCTGGAAGCGCCGCCGGGGGGTCCAGCGACGATCCAAGAAGTCCGCGCGGACCCGCGCAGGTGCATGTTTCTGCCGATGACTCTTGTCCGATTCGTGCCAACACATGACGGCCTGGCTGCCCAGAGCGCTTTCGCAGCAGGGGCACTCGCGAGCTGAGCGTGAGTCATGCGGGGCCAGTCGGATGAGCGCACGCTGAAAAGGATGCCTCGATCAGTCAGCTGGGTTCCTGGGCCTCTCTGGAAGTTCTTCTTGCCGCCACGGGTGCACGCGGCTGGAAGGGATCACGACACCCTCCCAGCCCGCAAGCTGTCTCGCTCACTCCCACCCGCCCTCCCCATGTTAGGCGGAATGTTGGGCGGTCGTCTATGGATGGACAGTGTACGTGGACGTTTTCTTATTCGGCGTTTCGACATTGGGCGGAAGGTGGGGGGCGAGGGGGGATTGGCTCCAGACCTCTGCTTAGCGCGACTGTTTGGAACCGTGCGTCCTGTCGGGGAGATTGAAACAGGCGCCGGAAACAGCCAAGATCTACTCCATGGGGGAGGGCGAGGAGGAAGGAGGAGGGAGGAGGAGGAGGAGGAGGAGGAGGAGGAGGAGGAGGAGGAGGATGGAGGAGGAGGAGGGGGAGGAGGAGGAGGCGGAGGAGGAGGAGCAGGTGGAGGAGGAGGAGGACGAGGTGGAGGAGGAGGAGGAGGACGAGGAGGAGGAGGGGAGGAGGAGGAGGAGGAGGAGCAGGAGGAGGAGGAGGAGGAGGAGGAGGCAAAACAGGCCCCGTGTACGCGACGCTGGGGCGCGGCGCGCCAGCTGGCCAGGAGGGACACCAGGGAGGCCTCGGGGCCTGGGTGTGGCGCTGGCTTTAGGTCGGGCTTGTCCCCCTACAGGCAGGTTTTGGACGACAACTCAAAACTAACCCCCCAAAAAAATCAAGAAATAGTCAAAAACAAATGTTTAAAACATCGTCCCCGTATTGTTTTTGGGGTATCTTTGAATCTTCCTCCTGCAGAGGGACACGCCCGACTTCACGCTGGCCTTGGTCGGGCCACACTGGGCGCGGGGCGCGAGGGGCGCCGGCCCTCTTCAACGGCGGGGGGGGGCCTTCTCTGCGAGGGGCCGGGCGTCGCGAAAACCTGTGCACAGACTCGGGCGTTAGCACAACTGGGTCTAGCGGGACGTGGTTCCTGCCGTCGTTCGGACATCCATTTCCCGTGCATTCTTCGGTTTCGTGCGTGTTTTTTTGTTGCTCGATGGTCCAGGATGGTCCTCGATGGCCCCCGCCGCGAAAAAATGCACACGTCCGAGCGATGTCAGGGGCTTAGTGCTGTGTACTGGGGGACGCCCACCCCCCGCCCCGTTCCACTGACTGGAGCTGCCGTCACCCGAACAAAACACACCAGCTACGGCAGACCTGGCGCAGTGATGCTGGCCAGTTGAGGGGCACGGGGGCCCTCCCACTAACGGGGTCCCCTCACCTGGGTCCTGGCTGTATACTCGACGGACGCCCTCCGACGAGCTTTGCATGCACCTTCGGGGAGGGCGGCGGTGCAGAAAGTCGCCGGCTCTCAGTGGTGATCTGTGCACCGCCGCCCTCCCCTGAGAGGCCCAGGAACAATCCATTCGAGGGCGTCTGTGGGTGTGTATATATACATAATATATATATATATATATATATATATAATATTAATATATATAATATATTCTTGAGGTGGAGACCAGAGACGCGTCGGGGGGTGCTTAAGATGCTTCTGGCCCAAGGCGTCCCCAACGCGTCGCTCCATTTTGGGAGCTCCCGGGACCCCCTGGGCCTCGTGAGGAGTGCTCTGGAGGCTGCGGGGACCTCCTTGGAAGTCCTGGGGGGGCACCTTGGGCCAGTGGCACTTCTAGCAAAACCCGAACGTGCAAGAAGGCTCACACGATAGCAGGAGGGCTGCCACAAAGCCCCCCGAAGGCCAGCTCTGCCCCCCCCCCCCCCCCCTAGTGCGCGCCGCCAGGAAGGCCGTAGGGAGCATCGCGGGCAGCACAAAATTCTGCGTCCAGGAGGTGGTGAGTTCAGAAGAAGAGAAAACTGCTTGAGCATAAGCTTTCAGAGTTGCGTGCGGATGCGTCGGACCTGAGCTGGACCTGCCTTCCTGGTGCGCTCGCGCGCGAGGGGCGGCGCCATTGCCGCCGCCAGGAAGCCGAGCGCAGATCCAAGAAATCCGCGCGAGCATGCGGAAAGTTTGTGCTCATGCCGCTTTCCACTCTTCGAGCAGTCAAGGTTCAGCACCTGGTGCCACCATCCCTGGTGAGGGGTAACGATACGGGAGCGTTGGCTCCGGGGGAGGGAACATCGACCTGGAGTCGGCGATGCATCGCCGCTCGGTCGGCGATGGGCCCCCGATAGCAAAACCGAGCGGTCCTGGGGGTAAGGGGCTACCGGGCCCCTGTCGGCGATGCATGGGCGTCCACCCTGAGCTCATCGTTACGTCGGGCATGTCCTCCTACAGGTGGAGTTGGGACGAAGAGTGTATACACCACTATCTAACTTGAGTTCTTCTAGGAGAGCAGCGTGCGCGGCCGTGGAGCAGAGGGAGAGCAGGAGGAGGGAGAAGGAGAAAGGGTGAGAGAGAGGGGGAGTGAGGAGGAAGAGCAGGAGAAGAGGGGAGGGAGGGAGGAAGGGCGAGAAGAAGCAGAAGAGAAGAGAATATAGCATCCAAAAATTGTAGCAAATTGGTCCCCCCCCCCACTACTTTTGGACTATTCTTGAACATTCCTCCTGTAGCTCCTGAATGGACAGGAAGCCCGACTGCAGATACCATCCGAGGGCCTGCTTCCCACAACTCGCGACCACACCCCGTTCGGCCCCGGCCTCTCTCTCCGCTCCTGCTCCTCCATCTCCACCTCCTCCACCCCTCCTTCCATCACCTCCCTTCTTCTCCTCCCTCCTCCTCCACCTCCTCCTCCTCCTCCTCCTCCTCCCTCCCTCCCCCCCTCCTCCCTCCTCCTCCCACCCTCCCCCCTACCCTCCCTCCCTCCCTCCCTCCCTTACTCCCTCCCTCCCTCCCGCCCTCCCTCCCACCCTCCCTCCCTCCACCCCTCCCTCCTCCTCCTCCTCCTCCTTCCACTCCTCCACTCCTCCTCCTCCTCCTCCTCGCTCCTCCTCCCCTCCTCCTCCTCCACCTCCTCTCCCTCCTCTCCACCTCCTCCTCCCTCCTCCCTCCTTCCTCCTCCTCTCCTTCCTCCTCCACCTCCCTTCTCCTCCCTTCTCCTCCCCTTCTCCTTCCTCCCTCCTCCTCCTCTCCTCCTCCCTCCTCCTCCTCCTCCTCCTCTCCTCCTCCTCCTCCTCCTCCTCCTCCTCCCGCCTCCCCCCCTTGGCCACGCCACGGTCCGCGCTGGGGCGTCGTCTGGGAGTGAGCCGCTGGAGCATTTTCCCAGACGGCGCCGTCGCGAATCGTGGCGTGACCAGCCTTAGGTCGGGCAGGTCCTCCCACAGGCGGGCTTTGGAAGAAAAATGAGAAAGACCCCCAAAAAAGACTCAAGCGTAGACAACAACAATTTAGAAGCTCGTCCCCCGATCACTTTCCTGCTATTCTCTGAGATTCCTCCTGCATGGGGACAGGCCCGACGTAAGACCAGCCCCCCCTCCCCTCCCACCCTCCCCCCCGCAGGTCACGCCCGATCCCCCGCAGCGATCCTCGTCGCCTGGCCTCCGGGGCAGTGCTCGGGTCTCTGTCTGCCGACCCGGGCGATCAGACCCCCCCCCCCCCGGAGCGCTCTCGGCGAGGCGTGGCTGCTGGAACGCGCCCCGAGGCAGGGAGACGTCCAGGGCCCGAGGAAAATGCCCCCAAAAACCTCAAACCTCGAACCCGGAGCCCCAACGTGGCGCTCTGTCACGGTGCGGACCCCGGACCCCCAGAGGTCTCGACTCCTTCCCCGGGACCGGCCTCTCATGCTGAGTCGTTTCTGTAAGTCCCGGGGCACCGGCGAAGGCCCCCAGGAGCGAATCTTCGGGGACAACAAGCGACCACAATCACAGCGAGGACACACCCTGGGAAATGCCTTGCGCATGCCGAAAATCGCAAGAGCACTGAGACCAGTTTAGTACTGGTCATGGTCAATGTGGACGTCCCAACCAGTTTAGTACTGGTTATGGTCAATGTGGTCAATGTGGTTATGACGGCCAAATCGACCACAACCACAACCAGAGTGCTTACGTCGAGTTCGGTGGGCTCTGCCCCGAGGAGCCCCCCTAATACTACTCCTGGCCTGAGGCACGAAGACGGTCTCGCCGGGAAGCTGCACGGCCTCGAGCATGCCCCAGGCCGACAGAGCGGCCCCTCCGTCTGACCTCTGCCTCGACCTCCACCAGTGCAGCGGCGGCTCGGGCTCCTGTCGGCGACTCCGAAGGGTGCGGTGTGCAAAGGGTGTGGTTTGCAACCCGCAGCCCTGGAGCGCATGCTGAAATTCGCGGACATAACAGGCGTCATGGGGGGGAGGGGGGGGGGGGGGACGGGAGGGGGCATAACGTAGCGCCCCCCCCCCCCCCCCCCCTCCAGACTGTGGTGCCAGACGCACTGGGGCAGTACGGGAGACGCACTGAGGGAAGAGTGTTACGTCATGGGGGGGGGGAGAGGGGGGGAGGGTTTGAAGGGGCCCCAGGACACACAAATAAATACACACAAATAAAAGGATTCCCCAGATTTTCCCGTATTTTCTGTGTTTTTGTCTTCCCCCCCACTTCCCAGATTCTCCCATACTTTCGGGGGAATCGACGATTAACTGTGTCTGTGTGTGTTTTTTCCCTCCTGAGGGTTGGGGGCATCGCGCGCGAGAAGGGCCCAAAGGGTAGACAAAGACCCTCTCCCGGGGGGCGGGCGAAGACCTCGCCAGGGTTCTCTCCGCCGCGCCCCGTGGAACCCCGAGGAGGGCAACGCGGTGCCCCCGCAAGCTCCTAACCATACCCGTCGTAGTCGCCGATACTGACTAAATTCGAGCTTACAGGGCAGTTTTTAAGACATGGGAGTCTTAAACGCATATGACTTTAATGCATGACTAATGTATGAACAAATTTGTGCATGAACTCATCGTTGTTTTTCATCCTGAATCCCTGCATGTTTAATACATGATCCGCACGCGGAGCCTGTATTAAAAACGGCACTGTAACCACACCCGTCGTAATCGCCGATACTGACTTAACCGGAGCTGATTCCTGTCCCTGAGATTGGCAAGCCCAAAGGCGACGATAATCTCATGCGCCCTTTCGAGCTGAGGGTATCCTCCAATTCGGCACCGAAACACCGCTTTTCGGGAGCAGAAACGCCCATGCAAAGATGTGGCGTCGACGGGGCCAGCCCCAGGCCCCACATTTCAATGTTGTCTTTGCGGCCGCTGTAAGAGCTCAAACATCGGCATAACGAATGCCCAAAATGGAACGCCGCAGACACGCCCGTTTCCAACACTGAACGCATGGGCGTAGGGCTTCTGTGTTTGGCGGCGCATTTTACGCCAATCGCGGCAGGATGACGCCAGTCATAGGGACAATGCTATGCTTAGGTCGGACATGTCCCCCTACAAACTGATTTCGGGCGTAAACGCACAAATACCCAACAAATGCTCAGAATCGGAAAAATCAAAACACCGCCCCCAGACTATTCTTAGACTACTTCTGCATATTCCTCCTGTAGAGGGACGTGACCGGCTTAATGCTATGTTTCGGCGGTGGACAAACCTCCCTTTAGCAAACCTCCCCTTAGTGAAAACGGCCCGGGACCGAGACCGACGGACCTGGACCCGCAAAAACGACGGCCGCGACGCCCCCTCGCGAACCGAACACGGCCAATTCGCGAATCGACGCGTCAGGGTGGGAGGTCTGTCCACCCCCGAATGTTCCAGCTTCCCGGCGGATGAGTAAAACAGGGCTAGGATCGGGATAAATCGCTCCAGAGTGCTCCGGAGCGCTCTCGGAGCGTTCCGGAGCGCTCTGGAGCGGCCGCGGCGCCCAATACGTCCTCCAAACCCGCGGAGTCTCAGAGACTTCGAGTTATCCCGATCCGATTTTGTCCCGATCTTCGCGTCGTTTTACAGTGTCCGGGCCGGAGCGAGCCATGAGGGGGGCCTGGGGGGGGGCCGAGGCCTGGCGACAGCGCCCGGCTCGAGCATGGCCGAGACGCAGGATCCTCCTCCTCCCCCTCCCCCTCCTCCTCCTCCTCCTCCTCCTCCTCCTTCCTCATCCTCTCCTCCTCCTCCTCCTCCTCCTCCTCCTTCGCGTCGTTTGAGTGAACCCCAGATCCGCGTCCGGGCCGGCTCGCCGATGGTTCTCGGAAGGCGTGGCTCCGGCTGGACCGCGGCGCCGCACACCGCAGCACCCCCCCTCCCCGGGTCGAGCCTGGGGCCCCCGGCGGCTGCGTCGGGCGTGGGCCTAAGGACCCTAAAGAATGACTACCTACCAAACCACCCCCAACTCTCCTCCTCCTCCCCTCTCCTCCTCCTCCTCCTCCCCTCCTCCTCCTCCTCCTCCTCCTCCTCCTCCTCCTCCTCCTCCTCCTCCTCCTCCTCCTCCTCCTCCCCCACCCTCCTCCTCCTCCGGGCCCCCGCGAACACGGATGCGGGATCCAACCCGAAGACCCGAATTTCGGGTTGGGGGGGGTAAGGGTTCCACACGTGTTTGTTCGATGTGTCCCGCCCCCCCCCCACCACCGGAGATCGAGGGCAAATCTGAGCCTTCGGGTTGGGTTGGGGTGGTCTGGTGGGTGGTGAAAGAGGGAACGAGACCCCTCGTTCCCATAAGTTAAGTTTTGGCTCCCCAAAGAAAAAGAAGGGAAACCCAGGACAAACTGCACAACTATCACGGAACACCGAGCCCCTCCCCCACGAAAAGGGCTTCTTATCTTCAGCGCCCCGACTGTAGGCTGCCCCTCAGACGCCTGGAAGTGGGCACCAACACCAACACAGGGTGTTGCCTCCACGGGGGGAGATGATCCCAGATTTCGGTGTTGGTGGCAATATGTCGGTCACCCTGGCAACCAGCAGATGGCCACCACCACCGAGACCGGGACCTTCTTGCCTCGGTGGAGAGGCACATCGCCGGTTTTGGTGTTGGTGTCAACCTCAAGGCCTGCGAGGTCCCTGGCCTGGCCAGTGCGGCGTGCGCACCAGTCTTGCAAGATCTGAAATCAGGCATCGAATCGGGACACTGGACCGAAGCACACCTGTGCGTCGGCCCGGGCTGCCTCGGCACGGCGACCGGAATCGCATCGGATCGGCCGCGCCAGCAGGCACTGCAGCCCCGCGCCCGCATGCAGCCCCATCGAGCCGTCGGACCATCGGCGTCTAAGAAACGGACCGAGCCTGCGGGGGTAGGCATCGGATCGGACCAGTCAGATCGAAGTGGGACGTTTCGGCCAACGTTTGGTCTGAGCCTCCACAAGATGATGAACAGAAGAACATAAACATAAACTGTCGGAGGTCCACGCGGAGGGCCCAGCGCACATCCAAGAGAACCGCGCAGGGCTCCAAACGGTTGTGTGTGTGCATGTTTCCTCGAACGGTGTCGGTGCCCCCAAACCTCCGTCGAAAAAATGCGTTGTTGAGTCTCGGACCCCCAGGCCTGTCCACCCTTTCGCTGGGACCAGCTTTTCATCCCGAATCGTATTTTCGACCGTCCCGGGGTCCGCACCCGGCCTCTGAAGGCCGAACAGGAAGAACACCTGCTTCGATACTCTCGAGTCTCTAGAGGTCTGGGTCGGTGTCTAGCTGGCGCCGTCCGACTGGTCTGGGGGGAAGAACCACCAGCGCTTCGCCCCGGCCAGCAGGGCGTTCCAGGCGGCAGTGCCGCGCGGATCCACGTGGATGGCGCTGCCGCTGCCGCGCAGCCCGCAGAGGAACCAGCGGTACTGGGGCATCGCCTCTCGGCGGCGGGCCCGGGGGGAAGGGAGAGGGGGCAGGCCTTCCGAGAAGGCAGCGGGGCCCTCGGAAGCCCCCCGCGCCTTCCGAGAAGCCTCCCGAAGCCTTCCTTCGAGGCCACGGGCGGCTTCTCACAAGGCGCGGGGGCTTCTGAGAGGCCCCGCCGCCTTCTCAAGAGGCCCGGCCCCCCCTCGCTTCCCCCCTCTTGCCGTCGCTCGGACGTCCAATTCCCGTGCGTTTTTCGGTTTCGTGTGTGTTTTTAGGGGGAAAACCTACCTACCTCGCTTGACCACCCCTGCTTCCAAGAGATACCAAACGATGCCAAACCATGGCCTGTACTGGTCAGGCCGCTTGACGAGGAGGCGCGTGGTACGACTTGGCTTTGCGCCTGGAAGCGAAAGCGGGGTAGGTAATTCACGCTCTGATTTTTGTTGCTCGATGGGGTCGGAGGATCGCGCAGCATCGCCAATGCATCGACGATGCATCCGCGATGCATCGGCGACGTCGGCGATGCATCGGCGCCGTCGGCATGGCGAAAATCGGGCTCCGCATCGAGCCGCATCGCCGATGCATCGGCGATGCGGCGCGGTCCTCCGACCCCATCTACTCGGACCCCATCCCGGGAGGAGGAGGAGGAGGAGGAGGAGGAGGAGGAGGCGGAGGAGGAGGAGGAGGAGGAGGAGGAGGAGGCCTAGAGTCCTCGATGGTCCTCGCCGGGAGAAAAAATGCCCACGTCCGAGCGATGCCAAGCCTCTGGGCTCGCCGCCGAGCCTTGCGGAGCGCGGGCAGCCGCTCGAACACGTCGGGGGCGAAGCACTCCGGGGCGGCAAGGCTATCGAGGCCCTCTCCTGGACTGAAGGGGCCCTGGGGCACACGAAGAAATACACACACACATCAAAGAATTCCTCATGGTTTCTGTGTTCTTGTCCTCCCCCCACTTCCCATAGTTTCCCATCTATATTCTCCTGGGAGGCGACGATCCATTGTGCCTGTGTGTGTTTTTCCCCTCCTGATGGATGTCCGAAGTTGCTTCCTGGATGTCGCATGATTTTCGGCCTGCGGCGTCGATGCTTCCTCGGCTTGTCCTCGATCCCTCACCTGTTGTTTTCCGAAATCCCCTTATGCTTGCTTCCCTGATGTGTTCTATCCGGGCGTTCCCCCTCGATGTCGGCCTCTGGGGCCCATTCTTGTGCCCTGGTGCCATTAAAAATGAACCCAGGGGCAAAACCACCCTTGGGGAAGAGGTCGGGACCGATGGGGCCGCGCATTGAAAAAAAAGCTTGGCGTCGGCTGTGGGGGTTGAGGGGCTGCACCCACTGTCCCCGTAGCAACCAGCCACATGTTTCGACGATGCCCCTGTCAGCTCGCACGCGCACACTTCGCATCACGAGCCCAACGAAAGCTGACTGCGAAATAGTTAGATCCGCGACAACTAATGCGGGATGACGATTAGAAAAAAATGGGAGAGGACGATTAGAAACATTGTTTTCTGGTATTTCTGCATAATTTTCTGACTGGAGGAGAACGAGAACAAAATAGTTTTCCAGCCCGCGGCCGGTTTTTTCTAATCGTCATCCCGGGCGCCGCCGCGTGAACACGACCCCCGGTCATTTATTCATCGTCATCCTCCATCAATGGCGGGCTCCGGAAGCCTTGAACACGCAACCCACATGCGCCTCCTCGCGGCGCACCTCTTGCTCCCGCCGGGCTCCCGCAGGCGGTGAGCCGCTCCCGCTTTTGTGAGCTTCCGCCGGCCTCCGCTGGCCTTCCGCCGCCCTCCGCCGGGGACGGGGGCGCCAAACGTCTCGATCCCTCGAGAGAGGGGCCCGTTCTGGGGCTGCGCACGTCGACGCCTCCCAAAATGGGGATCCCAAGCGCATGGAATCGGAGGGCCGTCTCCGCATCGCGGACGTGCCCGCGATGCATCATCGACGACGTCGGCGATGCATCGCCGTCGGCGTGGAGAAAATCGGTCTCCAAATCGAACATGGAGCTGCATCGCCGATGCATTTGCGACGCTGCGCGATCCCCCGACCCCGTCTGCCCTGGAGTCACAGTAGCCCAGGCTGGCCTCGTCCAGCCCCCGTGGTGAGTCCTGGGCGGTCTGAACACCCCAGCCCCAGTGCGATGCAAGCCTCGAGGGCGCCGCTCGGACGCGACGCTGAGTTGTCGAGACTACCCTGTCCAGTGAGGCAGCCTAGCCTGGAAGACCTCGCGGGGCTGTCTGCGGGCAGCCCTACGCCGCCTCCAAAGAAAAGGGCAGCGCCCCTGCAGGTTCCAGCAGCCAAATACGAGAAGAAGTCTTGCTACAAGAGATCTAGGGGCGCGTGTCGTCGAGAGCCGAGCTTCCTGAGGTGCCTCGAAGCTTTCGCGGGACCCCAGGGCCACTGGGGAATCAGAGACGTCCGAAGGGCACCTGCTGACACGCCGGCCTCTTCTTCGGCACGCCAGCTGTAATGCTTCCTCGGGGGCCGGAGACACACGTGCGGTGCCACTGTCCACGCAGGCTCGTGCGGCCAGGAGGGTGCCACCTCCCGGCAGGGCCCCGCCCACCAGCGGACGCTGCCCCCTCCAGGCGCGGTGCCCTCCCCCCCACCCGAGGCCCGAAGGCCCCGCAGCCTTGCCTCTGGGACGCCGATGTCCGCCAGGAACTCACCTCGGCATGAGAGACGCGGGTCCCGAGGGAAACGGGCCCTGGACCCCGTGGCTCGGCGGCGAGCGAAGGGGGGGAAGCGAGAAGGAGAAGGCCCTCTCAGAGGGCGGCGGGGCTCCTCGGGAGCCCCCTGACGTCTCCCGAGAGGTGCTCCGCGCCTTCCGGGAAGGCCCAGCACCGAACACTTCTCAGGAGGCCCTTGGGAGCTTCGCCCCCTCTCCCTTCCCTCCCCCCCCCCCCGGGCTCGCCACCGAGTGGCGGTCCCCCAGGCGTAGCCTCTCGTCCTGAGCCGTTTTTCCGACGGCCCCGAGGAGGAGGAGGAGGAGGAGGAGGAGGAGGATGAGGAGGAGGAGAAGGAGAAGGAGGAGGAGGAGGAGGAGGAGGAGGAGGAGGAGGAGGAGGAGGAGCCGCCCGCGGACGGCCGGAGGAGCCCGCGGAGGGGCCGCGGGAGGGGCCCGCGGGAGGCCCCATGGGACAGTGGAGAGAACGCCAGGGCTCGGGCTCCAGTTCCCTCCGGGGCCCCTTTCATTCTCGGGTCGGGCGAAAGGGGGGGATAGCAAAGGGGGGGGTTTGAGAATCAGCTCACGTAGCTGCTTTTCCCGGCGCCTCCCGGCGCTGGAGGCGGCTATGTATCGAGGAATGGGCCCCTCGGTGAGGCCGAAAGCATGCAGCAAATTTCGTACCCCCCCTTTCCCAATCCCCCCCTTTCGCCCAGCCCGACATTCGCTAGGGGGACAAATATTGCTATAAACATAAAAAAAACTCAGCGGTCTGTGCGGATGCCTCGGACCGACGCTGGAACCCCACCGGTGGCCCCTCGGGCACCGCCCCTGGCGCGGATCCGAGAGATCCACGCGGACCGCCGAGCCTTATGTTTATGTCATTGTTTGCTCCCCGATTCCGGGCGACGTCACCGCGTGGGCCCGAGAACTCGTTCTCGAAGACGTAGGGCGACCCCTGCCGGGACTCCGCCCCCGCCGGGTGCGAGGGGCAACGTTCAGTGGGGACCGGCTCTCAGGGGGGGCGTGGCGGCGCGCGCAGGGAGGCAGGGGGATGGGGACGAGGAGGAGGAGGAGGAGGAGGAGGAGGAGGAGGAGAAGGAGAAGGAGAAGGAGGCTGCTTCTTAGGAGCCGCCTGCCTTACATCTATAGACAAAGCCCGCACCTTCTGAGAAGCAGGCTGCTTCTAAGGAGCCTTCCCCCCTCTCCTGACCCCCTCTGCACGTGGCCGAGGGGGGAACGGCGATCTGGAATCTGCGGTGAATCGTCGATAAATCGTCGATAGGCTCTGAAAGGCGAATCCACACGCTGTGTGGCATGTTGGGTCATCACTGCCGATTTTGCAGCTGAAGTGAACACGAAACTACTGATTAAGCTACTTTTACATCCACGATGATCTCACACATTTCTGCCCAACAATTCGATGCCCACGGGCTTGAACAGTGCCTGCTGCCATGACGCCTCGGCAGACTTGGTCTGTGGGCAGGGTGCCAGAACAACTATCTCGGGCCCCCCCTGAGCCTATCTCTGTGCCCGGCGGTTTTCGGGCCAGCATTCAGCTCTCTGGCGGCCGTTCGGGACGGTTCTGGCACCCCCAGAACGCCCTCAGCGAGGCGCAGCCGCTGGAAGGCACCCCGAGGAAGGGAGACCTCCAGGTACCCACGAAGACTTGCGAAGACCTCAACCCTCGACCCTGGAGCCGGTTCCCCCCGCCTGGGCCCATCTCCCCCTATGATTTTCCCAGCGACTCCAGGCGCCCAAAGGCGCCCGTGCACCGAGGAATGAGCCCAGCGGCGGGGCCGAAACCAGCTGCATGCGGCAGAGCTCGTAACCACCCTCTCTCCCTATCCCCCCCCCTTCGGTCGGCCCGATCCAGGAACCCACGAAAACTTCCATCCCCCGAGGAAGGGAAACCCCTCGGGGGCGCGCAAACACGGATTCGCGATCCATGGATCTGGCGCGCGGTCGCCAAATCCATGGATCGGGGGAGGTGCCATCCCCAAAATGCGGCCATGGCCGCCCCGTTCGACGGCGGAAATCTACGATTTCCCATGGAAACAGGACCCGTCGCTGATCCACGCCCCCTTCATCCATGCTTGCGATCGCCTGAAAGGGAAACCTCCATCCCCCCCGCCCTTTTGATCGAAGCGGCGAGCGAAAAACGAAGTAAATTTCGC